TAAAATAGAAATGCATAAAAGAACCCCAAATGAAGCATAAATTTAAAGCTTAATCAATGATCCTGCTCTAATACCAATAACTTACAACAATTCCCCCAATCTAATATATATCATATGAATAACAACTTGTGTTATTGCACTTTGCTTTGAATCCACTAATTAATGAGAGAATAACATGTCTTTAAAAATATGAGTGCTCAATTAAAGTTTACTAGCAACATAACAACTTAACACTTACATATTTTTATACATTTTTTTATATTTACAAATAATCAAGTGTCCCTTACAAAATTACAAATTGATCCTAAAATTTTGGGGTTTTGTGTAAATTTGATTAAGATGAAACAGGATCATAATTCATAAAGAAGAACTATCTAAGTACACATCAATTTTGTTATTTGTAAGCATTATATATCAAATTCTTTTTCATATTTTTTTACCATATAAATCCTTCTTATATCTAAAAATTACATATTTGGTTGAGTTTTCTTTCAAGATAATCAAATAAGGGTTGTTTGTTCTGAAGTATTTTGGATATAAAATAAAAAAATTTGGAAGGATTTAAAGTTCCTATGTGATAGGCTTGGATTTAAACAAATATAATGTAAATTTTTAAGGAATTTATAATACATGTTAATATTATTTTATAACAGCCCAAACTCTTAATTATCGAGATATTATCCGGTTTGTACTAAGGGACTCATGATTGTGTAACTTCTTAGGAGGTCAACCATCCCAAGATTTCTCTGGGATGAGCACACTTAACTGCGGAGTTTTATAATAAACTTTTAACCATTACACCAAAAGACGCCTCAATATTTAAGAGTTCAAATTTTTACTAAAGGGCTTTCACAATCTCCCTCACTTAAGTAATTGATGTTTCTATTATTATCTTTATTACAAAATCATTAAACCGACATATAGGATTCTAGAGGTGGCCCCTATAGGTTCAAGTTGTGACTCATTCCATATAGCACTTTATCTATAGGGTTCAAGATCATGACAAAACACTTTGTCTTGTATGACACTTAGTTCCCATCTTATGGTAAGTATATTGCTCTAATATCATTTGTAATAGCCTAAACTTTTAACTATCAAGATATTATCGGCTTTGGCCTAATTGCATCACAGTTTTGTCCTTTTGGTGTAACTTTCCAAGAGGTAACCCATCCAAGAATTTCTCTACGATGAGCACGCTTAACTGCGAAGTTTCTTGATGAAATTTCGATCATTAGACCAAAAGACACCTCGATGTTTAAGAGTTTAACTTTTTTTTTAAGGGCTTCACATGCGACATTAGGGTGGACCTTACGGTAAACCTCAATGCTTAACTCTATTCATTGCATCGCACCTTACCTAATTGTCTTGACCTCTTATTATTGCATTGAGTCAAGTACCCTTCTTCCACACTGCGTCCACATTCATGATCCCTCATTGTATCACAGTACATTGAATTGCTCACGCCTCACATCAACTTTTCCATGCTTTTGCACACCATTGACCCTACGCTTTGATACAACTCTCTAACACTATGATCGCCTCCTCAACATCATAATTGACACTCACCTTCAGCATCTCAGTTGCCTCTCTCACCTCCATTGATCACTAATCATAGTCAATAAATTCATTTTTTTAGTAATTTCAATCATACACAAAAAAATCTCCAAATTTTATATGCATTAGGACTAGCTTTTCTTTATTTTAAATACTTGGAATTGAATATAATTTTTAAAGGGGGCACATCCTTCAATTTATTCCCTCTTTTTCCTCTTGTTACATATCAAATTTGTTTTAAAGAATAGAAAAAAAGTAACACAATCATGTTAGATTAGTTTACTAGTAAATATATGTCACCTCATAAACTAATAAACCTTAAAGCTTCATTTTCTAAAAAAGACACTCCTCCATCATTGTCTCAATCAAACATTATATAACAACCTCTATTACTGATGGATCTTCCTTTATCTTTATGTGAGATCTTAGTTATATCACCTGCTATATCTCGAATCTTATTCATAATAACATCTCAACCTCAAAGCTTTTTTTCATATATATATATACATTTGTAGCAATCCAAACTCTTAAATATTGATATATTGTTCGCTTTGACCTAATGAACTACTATTTTGTCCTTTCGGTGTAACTTCCCAGGAGGTCACCCACCCCAGGATTTCTTCAATATGAGCACACTTAACAGTGAAGTTTCTTAATAAAATTTTTATCATTAGACCAAAAGGTGTCTAAATGTTTAAGAGTTTAGCTTTCTTTTACTTAAAGGGTTTTACATATTTTATGTGCATTCAAAATTAGTTTATTTGACAAATTGGAATACACTATGTCATGCGACATCCACTCCCGTAATGTTCTGACCTTACGGTAGACCTCAATGATTAACACTATTCATTGCATCACACCTTGCCTAATTGTGTTTACCTCTTATTATTGCATTGTGTAAACCCTTCTTCCACATTGCGTCAACCACACTCATGATCCCTGACCGTATTGCATTACATTGAATTGCTCCCGCATCACATAAACCTTATCCTTCTCTTGCACTTCATCGACCCTACACTTGGACACTATTCTAACACTGTGACCACCTAATCCTACATCACAAATGTCACTCGCCTTCAACATCGCAATTACCTCTCTTACCTCTATTGATCACTAATCATAGTCAGTAAATTCATTTTTGATAATTTTAACCATACACCAAAAAAATCTCCTAATTTTATATGCATTATGACTAACTTTTTTTTTTTTTTAAATACTTGCAACCAAATATAATTTTAAAAGGGTGCCTTCAATCTATTCCCTCTATTTCCTCTTGTTTCATATTGAATTTGATTTAAAGAATATAGAAAAGTAACACCATCATATCAAATTAGTTTATTGGTAAGTATATGTCTCCTTGGAATACAAAAACCTCAAAGCTTCATTTTTCTTAATAAGGCATTCCTCCATTAGTGTCTCAATCAAACCTTATATAACAACCTCCATTAGTGATGGATCTTCCTTTCTCCTTCTGTGATATTTGAGCTAGATCACCTACTATATCTCTAATCTTAATCTTAATAGATGAGAGAGAAAGAATGACTAGCCAATTATTCTAAGGCTTTCTTTGGACAATTTTTTACTGCTTTCTAAAGCTGTTACAAAGAAAGTAATTTTTTTAAAACTGTTGTTGAAAGCAAATTTTCAGAAAAAAATCTTTGAGAAGTATTAAAAATAGTGATACAAAATTATCATTACAGTCTTTTCGAGCGTGAAATTATTCTGTGCTGTCACCGGAAGCCGTCCAGAGACGAATCATGATACTCCATGTTATCTTTTCCGCTGTGCGCCGGGTGAATTGGCACATTCTTATTCGCCTTCAGATGATCCGATGGTCGCATGAAGAAACGGACCCAAACAAAACCTCAAAAAAAAATTTTTTTTACTGAAAGTCAATTTGTCTTCTTCTTATTTTCTCCATCATGAGCCACATGACAAGTCAAACAAACCCGTGACTTCCTATACTCCAAGCATGACAGCTCAGCTTTGTATATTTTATTCCAGCTGTCATTTCTAAGCATTATTCAATATTTTAAAATTAATGAAAAAATAATAATTAGAATTAAAATATATTTGTTATAAAATATAAAATATCAAAGAATTTCTCTAGGATGAGCACATTTAACTGCGAAGTTTCTTGATGAAATTTCAATTATTAGACCAAAAGACACATTGATGTTTAAGAGTTTAACTTTTTTTTTTTTTGAAGGCTTCACATGCAACATTAGGGTGGACCTTATGGTAAACCTCAATGCTTAACTCTATTCATTGCATCTCACCTTACCTAATTGTCTTGACCTCTTATTATTGCATTGAGTCAAGTACCCTTCTTCCACACTGTATCCACATTCATGATCCCTCATTGTATTATAGTACATTGAATTGCTCCTGCATCACATCAACTTTTCCATGCTTTTGCACACCATTGACCCTACACTTTGACACAACTCTCTAACACTGTGATCGCCTCCTCAACATCATAATTGACACTCAACTTCAGCATCGTGGTTGCCTCTCTCATCTCCATTGAACACTAATCATAGTCACTAAATTCAATTTTTTAGTAATTTCAATCATACACCAAAAAATCTCCAAATTTTATATACATTAGGACTAGCTTTTCTTTATTTTAAATACTTGGAATCAAATATAATTTTTAAAGGGGGCATATGCTTCAATTTATTCCCTCATTTTCCTCTTGTTACATATCAAATTTGTTTTAAAGAATACGGAAAAAGTAACACAATCCTATTAGATTAGTTTACAAGTAAATATATGTCACCTCATAAACTAATAAACCTTAAAGCTTCATTTTTCTAAAAAAGATACTCCTCCATCTTTGTCTCAATCAAACCTTATATAACAACCTCTATTACCGATGGATCTTCCTTTATCTTTATGTGAGATCTTAGTTATATCACATACTATATCTCAAATCTTATTCACAATAACATGTCAACTTCAAAGCTTATATATATATATAAAGTGTGACATGAAGTTAATTGAGGGTCATGAATATTTTATTTTTTATATTATTGAGTGAATTAAGTATTTTTGAGTTAATAATAAATTTGAAGTATTAAATATAGAAAAAAGATAATTGTAAATATTATCTATGTAAAATTTCTAATTTTTCAAGAAAAAAATAGAGTCAATATATATTTTTTATCAAAATAAACTTTGAAATTATTAAATACACCTTAAAATGAATATAATATAATTTTTATAAAGTACACTCATTTTAAACATATGAAAAATAAAAAATTCACATTATTTTTTTTTTCATTTTTAAATATGCCAAAAGCATTGCTCCTTTCTCCATGAAAAAAGTTCAGCCAATAGACTAACAATCTGCAGTACTCTGTATCTCGGAATCTCTCAATGAAAAGCTCATCTTCTTCCCCCCATTTCTCCACCCCTCTCCTCCTCCTCCTCCTCCTCCCTCTCCTTCTCCACAGAACCGAATCCCAATCCCCCATCAAAACCGTCGTCATCCTCGTCCTCGAAAACCGCTCCTTCGACCACATGCTCGGCTACCTCAAGCAATCCCTCAACCCTTCCATCAACGGCCTCACCGGCGCCGAATGCAATCCCCTCTCCGCCTCCTCCTCCTCCATCTGCGTCTCCGACGACGCCGGATTCGTGGAATCCGACCCCGGCCACTCCTTCCAGGCCGTCGTCCAACAGATATTCGGCTCCTCCGCCATTCCTTCCATGTCAGGCTTCGCTCAACAAGCGTCAACGGTCTCCTCCTCCCTCCCTCTCACCGTCATGCAGTGCTTTGATCCCCAAACCCTCCCCGTCTTCTCCACTCTCGTCGACGATTTCGCCGTCTTCGACCGTTGGTAAGGGGGTTGTTTGATTTGCTATTTGAGTTGATACAGGTTATTAGGTTTATTGTACTTTTAGGTACCGCTTTAACCACAAAAAATTATTAGGTGCGGAGTGCGCATTGTCCGCACAAGTACTGGGTACCTAGCGGTATCCAACGGTACCTAGAAGTATCGAGTGCGAGTACCTAGTACCCAATACTTTTACGGATAGTCTCTCCGTTCGTACTCCGCACCTAATAATTTCTCTGTAACTATAGATACAGTAGAAGTAGATCCAATTTGAAAAACTCAGGTTCATGATGATTGGTTTAACATATGGGTATGAGTCGGATTAAAATTTAGAATTTTGTCCCGTTTAATTAATAGGTTTACCTGCAAACACGATTGGATTTTTAATTATTTATTTATTTTTAAGTTTTGTTTGCTTGTTGGTATGTTATTTGATTTTTGATTGATTGATTAAACTCGATAATTGATAAGTTACAAAATAATAATAATAATAATAATCGAGATAGATTACTGGGTTGTTTTTGGTTGGATTTGAATTGACTTTATTCAGAACGGGTCAATTGTAGATTGAGTCCTAACGCGACCCATTAAATTATTTTGACAACTCTAAAATAAAGATTGAATTATGATGAGTTTGAAAATTATTAAGATTTATTTTGAGATTAGTGCAATACAATCTTTTCATATATAATACTTTTTGGGTGCCGGAACATTCATGGCTGTAGAGAGATATAGAATTTAGCATTATAGCTTTCTAAGAAGATTCAACACACGCACATATAAGATATAATGGTGCAAGAGTTATGAAAGACAATAATTTTTTATGTGGAAAAGCTTGACAACGGAAAAAATTTGGGCTCTGGCTCAGTTAAAATGATTTTACTAGTGTTTGCAGTTGTTTACAAATGATATATTTCATTGGAAGAAAGCCTTAGCTCAATGTATAAAATGTGTATCATATAAAGCACATTACTAGGTGGGAGTTGGAAGAATCCAGTGATATGAGAGTTATTCTCAAAAGAATGTTTGCTTATTTGTTTGATCAGTAGGACCATAGTGGGTGATAGAGATCATAGGGGCTATAGTAGGGCGACTGAGGTAGAGAGGATCATTATGGGGAGATAAAGGTCGGAGAGACTGTAGTCGATTGACAACGTTGGTCGAAAGAATGGTAGTAGGTGAGCGACAGAGGTAGAAGCAATCGTAGTTGGGATGTGACGGTGGTTGGAGGAATTTTAGTTAGTCGAAGACTGTGGTAGGATGGATTGTAGTCGATGAGCGACTATGGTTAGAGGGACCGTAATTATAGAGCGACTGTGGTCGTAGGGATCGTTGTCGGAGTGCGATGGTGGTTGAAGGGACTGTAGTCACGGAGCGATGGAGGTTGGACGAAGGCCCAGTGATGGTTGTCAGACAGAGGTCTAACGTGGATGTTCGGGCAAAGGTCATGTAGCGGTGGTCTGATGACGAGGATTCATTAACAGTGGTGCCGAGATGAAGCTCTAGGATGTTTCAAGTTTAGAGCTCTCTTAAGTCTCTAGCTCTAGGTCTAAGCATCCAAAAGTTCAAGCCCCCTTCATGTGGGAAGTGAGAGTGACATGCTCCATAAATATGAAGAATATTATGAGCAAATTCAGACTTATCCTTGGATAACCCATAATAATCACTTGATTCGACTACAAGCATGTCATATTTGAATATTACTTGATCACCCAATCAATGTGAGCTTCCAAATATGCTCTAAAGTCCTTGATTTGAGCTCATTTGAGCTCAAATTTGATCGATTTTGAAGTTGTTGGATTCATCCCATCAAGACGTTCGGTTTGACTATTAAGTTTGTTAAAACTGGAGTTTGGAGGGTCTCGTATTAAACATAAAAAAAATTCAATTCAAATATGACATTAAGATTTGTGCCAGATCAAGATAATTTTTTTGTCGTATCAATACTAATCTCAAAACAAATCCAATAGGATTACACTTTAAGTGACCTAATGATAATTATAGTCATTAAATTATCTCCTTTGGTATTTCAAATGTTAGATTATTTTTCAAAATATTATAAAATATCTGTAAAAAACCTAAACTGAGTGTTAAGTGTAAAAATCTTTTATTTTATTAAAGTTTTTTTTTTTCAAAACTATGGATATATTTTATTCATTATAAAATATTCAAATCATATTGAGGTCAAGGGGATTAAATCATATGAAGGACTTTGAGATTAGTGATTATGAAAAATTTTTATATTGTTACACTAATTTTAAACTAAATCACCAGCTTTCATTGTTACACTAATTTGTATGAATTTTTTTTTTAATATTAGTCTTTTATTTATTTTTTGCATCGAAGATTTGAGAATCACTAATCTTAAAGCAAATCCAACGATTTTTAAATGTACCGTAACATAATTTATAGTTATTTTCTATGATTTTAACAATTTTCTGTGTTTTATTCGTAACGGGTTCTCGTCCATACCCGGCCCGACCCAACCCAACCGCCTGTTCCTCTACTCCGCCACATCCCACGGCGCCACCACCCACGACCCGCTGGAGCTCCTCACCGGCTACCCCCAGAAGACGATCTTCGATTCCCTCCACGAAAACCTCCATGACTTCGCTGTGTACTTCTCCACTCTCCCGACCACGCTGTTCTACGCAAGAATGAGAAAGCTCGAATACGCGAGCAAGTTCCACTGGTTCTCCGCGTTCGGAGCGCACGCGAAGGCGGGGAAATTGGCTAAGCTGAGCGTGATAGAGCCGCGGTATTTCGACTTGGTGGGCGCGGAGGCGAACGATGATCATCCGGCTCATGATGTGGGGAACGGGCAGAGGTTGGTGAAGGAAGTGTATGAGATGTTGAGGGGGAGTCCGCAGTGGAACGAGAGTTTGTTGATCGTCAGCTACGATGAGCACGGGGGGTTTTATGATCATGTGGAGACGCCGTATGTGGGGGTGCCGAATCCGGATGGAATGAGAGGGCCGGCGCCGTTTCTCTTTGATTTTGATCGGTTGGGAGTTAGGGTTCCGACCATAATGGTTTCGCCGTGGATCAAGAAAGGAACAGGTAATTTGATTTCGATCATTTGTATTGTTTTTTAGCTTGTTTTGAATTGATTATTGATCGGATTGATTTGGGCTGAGTGTTTAAGATATAATGTACGCATTTCTTGCGGATTAATCATGGCTGATTTGAATTGCAGTGGTCAGCAGACCAAATGGGCCGACCGCGAATTCTGAATACGAACACTCATCGATACCGGCGACATTGAAGAAGATATTCGGCTTGAAATCGGAATTCCTGACGAAGAGAGATGCTTGGGCAGGGACATTCGAGCACATTTTTGAGGAGCTCAGCTCGCCAAGAACCGATTGCCCAGGTTTCCTATATTCTATTGATTACTGTTCAGCTAACCATATATAAACTTTGCAAAAAAAAAATCACATTGCACAAATTGCACCGAGATATGCAACATATAAAAGAAAATTTCACTTTTTTTTTAATAATTCCTTAAGAAAAAAGATTGTGTAAAGATATTTTCATTCAAAATTCTTAGATTTATGTTAAGATTAGTGTAATTCTTGGATATCATATGGAACATTATTCTCAAAGCAAATATAAGGTTTGGAAGCTCATCCCGAAGCAAAACCAATGAGGATATGCTTATACAATTTTTCTTCCATTCCTTTATGTACAAGTGCTATATGTATAAGATGCGAAATTTCTGACTAAGATTTTTTTTTTGAGACAACTTTCTTACTGCTTTGTAAAACAATTTTTTTAGTACAAAATTTTTTAGAACATGTTGGTTTTTGTACTAGAATATTATTTTAAAAAATAGTAAGAAAGTTGTCCCAAACAAAGCCTAAAATAGAGGTATTATGTGCATAACATGTTAATTTAGTAAGACTTTCAAAATAACTTTGGTATGTTTTCATGTTTTTAAAATGACAACCACTCCAACTAGACTCTCACCGCTTGCCGCTGTCCTTGTCACCATCACCACTAGTTATCATCACCATCATTGTTGATCACTGTCACCACCACAACTTATCGCTACCACCACCATAGCTGCCCACATCAGATTGTTGCATAAAATAACTTAATGATATTTAATCAAATAAAAATAAATTTTACTAAAGATATCAAACATATTTTTTATTTCAAATCAATTTGCTAAACACATCCATCAAAAAAGTTCATGGAAATAACTTTAAAATACCGGTACCATTCATGTGATTCATGCTATCCTCTACTTTTGGAGAAATTATTAGGTACCTAGCAAATTAAAGATGGAAAATATAACAAGAGTGATATTACATGTCCACCTATAACTTAAATAAGAACCTATTAGCACCTAATAACTTCTCCAACCTTCACCTTGTCCATTTATTAGGTATCTAAAATTATAAGAACTTAATTCCTTTTGCAAGAATTATAGGAACAAAGCTATGATAAAAGAGAAAGACAAGAACTTAAGAACTAAATACTTCTAAACTTTTAGTTCGTGTATTCACAACAACAACAACAACAACATCAAGTCTTTATCCCGTTACTTGGAGTCGGCTACATGAATACTTTTTCTCGATCGTGTTCGGTTAAGAGTCAAATTCTCATTTAGATATAATAAAGAAAGGTTATTTATAATATTTTATAACCAAGTCTTTTTAGGTCTACCTCTACCTTTCTTGACATAGGTTAAATCTAATACATCTACTCTCCTAACGGGATCATCGGAGAACCGCCATTTTATGAGAGCAAAATTGTATTAATATATGGGAGCACACAGTTTTCTTTGAATAATTCTTACAGCAATATCTGGCCTCAGCATTTGGGGAAATATTGCAAACGAATATGCCCATAACAGCTAGATTTCACTGGCAAAAAATTGATTAGGAGCTCTTCATTAACAAAATAGATCACCAGTACAAGACAATTATTTATAAAACTATATACAAATATACTAATTTCGTTGTTGTTATGTAGTACAGAAACACTTGTTTTTTTTAGTTTTCAGCAATCAATTTACTGTTTATATGGAGCTATCTTTGTCGTTTATATAGAATAAAGAAAACCATTTTATAATTCAAATGAGAAATTATTACGTGCAGTCACCGGACTGTCCGGAGGTCAATCAGGACACGCCATGTCACCCTATACATAGCGGTGCACAGTGACAATACACAGGGAACAGGTAACGTGGCATGTCTTGATTGGCCTCCGAATAACGTCCAGGTGACCGCACATAATAATTTCGCAATTCAGACAGACTGTTCTGTCATTTATAAATGGCCACCTCACACTCTTCTCAATTTCTTTAAGAGTTTTCCAGCTTTTACTGCTACCAGAAAAAAAAAATATTTGAAACTGTTGATTATCTACAATGGTTTCCAAGAAAAACAGGCAAAAATTGAAGAAAATCTTATCAGAAACAGGAAAGAAAAGTTTTTTTCACTATCTTCTTTGTTGTACAGTCCCAATTGTTTAACTCAGTTCATTCTCTCCACAGAAATCCTTCCCAGTCCATTTCCTACAAGAAGCAGTACTGAAATCAAAGAAGATAGCTTTCTATCAGAGTTTCAGGCCGAGTTAGTCGACTTAGCTTCGGTCCTCAATGGTGACTCCATTTTTAATCTGCACAGAGAAACAGACAAGAAGATGACAGTAAAAGAAGCAGATGCTTATGTGAAATCTGCAATAAAAAACTACTTGAAAGCAAGTAAAGAGGCTATCCATTGAAGGTACAGTGGTGAAAATTCTATTATAGATCTGCGTTTCTGCTTCCTTCTCTACCAACACAAAGAAAACACCATAAATCCCTTATGTTTTAGCAAATGAGTCGAGTGGAGTCGAGTCGACTCGAGTATCTGTCTAATCAAGCTAAACTTGTTTAGTTCTTACTTCTTACTAAGCTTGCACTCCTTTACTAAGCTCGTTTAAAAAATTATAGACTCGAATATGGCTCGATTGGAAAACTCAAGTTCGACTTGATTTGTTAGGTTTAAATTAAAATTTTTAATTTTTTAGAATTTTTATTTTTAATATATAATTAATTTATAAAGGTTAAAATATATTATATAATTCTAATTTAAATTAATTTTTAATTATATTTTAAATTAACCGAACAGTTTAATGAGTTTGAGAGTTGAGCCAGACTAAGCTTGAGCTAGCTCATTTAATATATCAACTCAAGTATTGGCTCTAGCTTGAATTTGTTGCTCGACTCCTGAGCTCGTTCAAGCTCGACCCGATTCAGCTCACTTACACTCCAAATGCTACAAATATAAGAACAAGCATTCAGACCACACAGCTAATAATAAACACAATTAATCAAATTAGCATCATATTATCGAATTGTGTTATGCTACAAGATGGGATCATTGCATGCAACAAAAAAATTTATCCTTTGTCCAAAAATTTTAAAAGTAATTGTAAAGCTGTTGTGGATAAAATTAATTTTTTGAAAGCTATTGTAGAAATCAGTTTCTCAGAATAAAAGTTTGTGTAAAGCAATAAAAAAGTAATTGCTAAATAAAAATTATGATTTTTGATTTGAAAAGTAATGTTGTAAGTAAAATATTCCAAACGAAGCCTTAGTGTTACCAAATCTCCATCACCCCTCTAAGGATCAGAATAAATTTTTTTTCTTCTATTGTGTCATATTAAGTGTCAAATCCTCATTTAAATCTAATAAAAAAAGATTTTTTTAATACTTTCTAACAAATTCTTTTTAGGATATGATTAGTAGTTACTTTATTTTTTCAAATTTAATTGACTTATTTATTTATTTTCAAAAGATTTACATTCATACCCTTATTTTTATATATATTTAGATATTTAACACTAAATTTTTTACATTTTGCTTAATCTCTAAATCACATAAAAAATAACAATAATATTAACCTATATAAATAAATATAAAAAGTGAAATACACATCATAAAATTTATATATTTGCATAAAATTTAAGTATTAGTTATGTAAATACATAAAATTCTATAAAATGTATGTAAAACCTATTTTATTTTTTAAAATATTTTTTCCATTAATTTTTTTTTTAGAGCCATTCAATGAGATTAGCTTTAGAAAAGCAAAAGGCTCATGTAGTGCCAAAATATTTTTTCATTCTTTTTTTTAGCAAGACATTAAAGGCCACACATGCATAGTACTATATATAAATTAATATTTTTTCTTCCTATTATTTAACATAAAACTATACAAACTATAACCACATGTGACAACAAAAGGTCATAGGGGATTGTACCTTATTTTGCATGGTGATAGAGCAATTAGTGGTTAGCATATTAAATTATTAAAAAAAAATTATAACTAAAAAAAAATAACTCTTTGATTTCTTTTTTGTCAATTTGGTACTTTTTATTGGGAAAGTAGATTTAGTACTTTGTGGGATGTTTGAATTGTATAAGGTACTTTCATTTGTGGGTCAATAATGAATATGATATTGAATGATAATTATTGTGTGGGAGCATGTCAATATGTCTTTGGATGTTGCACTTTAAGAATGTCTTCTTAAAGGTGTAGTAGATACATTTGCTTTTATATGGAGGTGAAAATAAGGGTGTCAAAATCGGGTGTTGGGTCGGGTCGAACTGACCCGAGGTTCAAACGGGTCAACCCTAACCCGACCCGGATATGTAAACGGGTCGAAAGTTTGACCCGGACCTGACCCGTATTTGGCTTCTGCCAGCGTCGGAACAACGGCGGGCGAGGGGACGGACACGGGGCTGCGGGCGCAGGGTAGCGCGCACTGGGCAGCGTGCGCGCGGGGCAGTGGGCATGGGGCAGCAGCGCGGGGCTCGGGCAGAAGTCAAAACATCTATGTGTTGCCTTTTGGTCAAGATTGAAAGCCCTAGTCATGTGGCCATACTTTACACCCAACCCCACTTTACTCATTTAATACTCAAGATACTTCATTGGAGGTAACTCATTGACAAATGGAAAACTAGGGCCAAAGATCTACCGAGATGATATAATTATATAATTTTTATTAGTTTGATCATCATTCTCCAACTACAATCCAAAGATAAAATTAAATTTAACTAGGGACACTAATTTAGAGTGTTATAATATCCTTAATTAGGGGTGTTACAGATACTACACATAGAATATAATTAACTATAGAGGTTCAGACTCATACGAAATGTCATGCCCAAGATTTAAAGTGAAAGAATTTTAGTTTTTTTCTTTAACTATCATATCATTGAAAATCAGAGCTAACTAATTATGCTAAAAAAAAAAATATAAACAATGACAAACATAATTACATTTTCATGATCAATATTTATATTTTTATTTCAAAGTCTAAAGTCCAAAATAATATATATACAATAGTCATTCTAGTCTACAAAAGAATATATATATAACATAAAAGAATAGAAAGTAGAACTAAATTATAGTCACTACCTAGTTTTAGGCTGCAAACTACTTATTTTTACCTGAAATCATATGAAACTTTGTAACGAATATAAAGCCCAATAAGTAATTAAAATTTACCATGCATTTAATGCAATACAAAGGAATAAATATTTGTGCTCTAGTTTTGATAATCAATAGTCTATCATTATAAACAACGAGCAATCTATAAAATTCATATAAATAAGGAGAAAATATATTATTTTATCAATTTCGAGAAGATTTAAAATGTAGAAATCAAAATCATAAAAAATGAGTAAGAATAAAGCCACTAACAAAGATATAATATTTTTTATAATAGAAGTGACAGATGAAAAATCCATTGAGAGCTTTTTCTCTCTTCTTCTTACTCCCTTTTATACTTCTCTTCCTTTGCACCTTCTCCAACAAGAAACTGATTAGTGGGGAGGGGAGGGGATGCTCTCTTAATTTTTTTAGTGCCTAACATCATGGTGTTCCAACCTGCCACCTCATGCTCATAAGATAGTTGTTGTAGTTAAGAGAGCATCAGAGCTGCCAGCTGAACTCTGGAGCCCCAATGCTACACCTCTTAGAGCCGTTGCACCCGCAAGCACAACTTTACAGTACCGTCTAACCCGAAATTTTCATATTTTTCAAATAAGCCTATGTTTAACTTTTAGGTTGTTATAATCTCCATTACTTTGAAAATCAGATCGAACTGGCCGGTTCGACTGTGAACCGATCATATGGCTGGTTTGGTTCTTCTAAAAAACCAGTCTAGCATCAAACTGGTGCGAACCGTTGAACCAGTTTTGATTCTTAAGAACCAATTGGTACTATTCATAATATATTTAAATAATTTAATATAATATAAAATATTTTATTAAATATTAAATTAATTTAAATATGATATATTTTATTTAATAATATAATTCTTAATTTTTTTTAGTATTATGTATTAAACACTAGTTAATCATGCACATATGATTCCATCACGTCAGGTGGGCTGTTAACCTATGGATGCAAGAAAAAGTATATAAACAACACAACATGCATAAAGCTCTTAAGTGGTGTGAGACTAAACAACTTTTAGTTTTTACAATGTGTGCATGATGGATGCTTCCGTGAGAATTTGTTGGGAAACTTTGTACAGAATAAAGCTCTTAAGTGGTTTGAGACTAAACAACTTTTAGTTTTTACAATGTGTGCATAATGGATGCTTCTATGAGAATTTGTTGGGAAAGTTTTATAGTAATTATTTATATTTAAATTTATAATATAAATATAATAATTATTTATATTTAATTTTAAAATTATGTAATAAATCATATATGTATAAATTTTATTTATTTTTTAGTCTCAAAATTCTTAGAATTATGAAAATTTTAAGATTAGATTGTCATCATTATTATAATACTTTTATTAATTTTTAATAATATTATTATTTATTATGCCATTAGGATGAATATCTCCTTTTTTTGATTCCTTGTCTGATTCAGTTTTCGCAACCATGATAATCTCTCTACCTTCGAAAAATTTTATCCTCGATATTTCTATATTAGTCCAAGAGAAAGAATATGCTGAAATAAAAACCACCAAATCAATTTGACTAATCAATATTAAAAAAATAAATAAAAAATTATGTCAAAATCAATTCTAAAATTATATAGAAAAGCTTAACTTAAAAAAATAAATATATAAAATAAAATCATACCGATCACATCATCTGACAAATCAAAAGCTTTTGCACTGACTCTAACAAAGCATGTCCAATATAATTTTTCAATTTGGTGTCCATAAATCATATAAAATCACATAATGAGCACATAGCCTAGCAAATAACAAAAACTTATCACTACATTCAATGTGAGATAAAGGAATCAATATGCCTATTCTAATTTATATCAACAATCAATAGCCTATCAGTATAAGGAATGAGCAACCTACAGAATTCGAAATAATTAGTTAAAAAACTAATATGACTAGTAAAGTCAAAAGAGATCTGTCAAACTATAAGAAAAATAATAAAAAGATTATCGTTCTAAGTGTTTTGTCTGTATGCTAAGTCAATATACTTATCATTATATTGAATCCATAAACCTATAAATGTATATCAATGTCCCTGTCATATGCTATGCCATATCAATTTAGGTTATGTGAGTTCTATTTATCAATCAAATCATATGTTATCATGTGAATGCAATCATGAATGAAATCATGAATAACAAGGTAGGACATCCATCTTTAATGTGGTGTTTTCATCATTCCATCTATCATCCATCCATCTTATTAATCTGTCATCATCGATTAATTATATCTTTTAATTATTTATATTAATCATTTATTTTAAATAGGTAGCTTTTAATAAATCAATGAAAAGTTATCACTCTCCACCCATCAACATAATTTAGTCAATCAGTTATAGACTACAATCAATATCACACCATAGACTTTTTTATTTTAAG